GGGGGGATGGGCATGGAGGAGGGCACTCATGGGGATGAGCACTGGGTGTTATGTGGAAACTAATTTGACAAAAAACTATTTGTAAAAAAAAAAAAAAGAAAGAATAAGGTGCTTCAAGAAAGAGTGAGTGGTCTACTGTGACTAAGCAGTGAAGAAATTAAGATGAGGAGTGAAAAATACAGACCTCTGGATTTGGTTACTTGGGTGTCACTGGCACCTTTCAGAGAACAGCTTTTGTGAAATGACAAAGTAGGTTTCAGATTGGAACCAACGAACAAGAAGGCAGGAGAAATGGAGCCAGTATAAACAACCACGAAGAAGTTTAGCTCTAAAGAAAAGCAGAAAGCACAGTGAGAAGGAGAGGATGTTATATGAAGGGAGGGCTTTGTTAAAAGTATGTTTACATGTTAATGGAAAGGAAAAGGTAGAGAGAAGACACAGAATATTCATGACAGAAGGGTAATAATAATCTGAATAGGCAGTAAGGGATATGATCCAAAGCACAGGTCGCGGGATTGCTCAGTTAGAAGGGGCACCTCATTTACTCTAAGAAGGAGGAAAAAGGAAAGGAATCATGCAGATGCAGGTAAATTTGGAAATCTGGTTGCAGTACGTGCAGACAGCTACTCTGATAGCTTCAGTGTTCTTGGTGAAGAAGGCAAGGACATCTGCTAAGACTGACGGGATGGCTTAAATTTTTATCCCGAACATCAAATCCAGGGACACAGATATTTAATGAGTTTACATAATAAAATAAACAATTAGTATCCTCCAAGCAGTTGTTCATTAGAATCAATACACAATTTTCTCCAAATTAGCCACTAGAGGGCAGTGCTGCTGTCCATAGTTTCCTCTATCTCTTTTACCCCAGTGAAATTAATAGAAAATTACAGAGCAGTGTAGGTCATAAAATGTTTTTCCTCAAGAAAATCTGGCTTCCACCTTATGTGTGTGGATATATATGTATACACATGCACACTACAGCATGATGGGAGGGCTGTTCCTTCCACTAGCTTCCCACTGCAACCATATAATGATGGCCCAGAGGTAACATTCACCATTTTCCAGAGGTCACTTTTCGTAACTCCCCCAATGTGCACAGCAATACTGAATAGATCTTTACACCTTCTTATGATTAATAAATTGGATAAGGCTGATGAAAAAAATCCCTAAACCTAATCTCTGCTAACATTTGCTATGGCTTCAAGTTGATTTTTTCCTCCCTCAACCTACCGCCTCTTCAAAATAGAGAGGCTTTTTAAAATTAATTATCAACAGTTGAATTTATTTCATAACTTATTTTCCCTTTGTCTCAGATGTGTGATATATTCTTAAAATGAAGATTTAACAATCCATAATACCACATGGCTACTGTATATACCAGAATAAGCAGCTATTTTAGGGTATGAGTTTAGTAACAAGGCTGGGAAATAACTTGTTTCCTAGTTTGATTCTAATGAGTTTGGGTCTCTCATGTACACGGGAAATGGCAAAGTTTTAACTTAAAATAGGGTGCAGAAATTCTCAATGCCCAAAAAGAAAAGATGTAAAGGCAGACTCTAACTCTAATAAGAGTTTGGGGTTAGACAAGTCAGCTCAGTTTCAACCAAGAGAACTGAGCTCCCACTCAGTTCCAGTCATACCAATGGAACACGTTACACCCAACCTAAGAAGTTGTTAGTAGTTTGATCAGATGTTCATGGGCTGTAGCTGCATGGAAGTGGGAAAGAGGCTGAGGTCATCATATGACTGTAGGATGTCAAGCACTTCAAATGGGTGAAAAAGGTGCTTGATCCCAAAGCTTCCAAACTTGTTTTTGAGCTAAAGTTGCTTGGGAACAAAAAACAGAGAAGAAATGGGCCATAAAAAGAGTATGGGTGATAAAAATTGAAGTAGTCATCAAATATAGATACAGTGTCAAACTGTTTGCAAACTGTATCAAAAGCAAAGTGTCAAGGATCTTTAGGGTAGTGCTCGAATTTAAAATTAAGAGTCACATTTTTCACTGGATACTCTATTCCACTAGCTGGTATGTTATTACGCTTTGATAGCTTTCAGAAGCTCTTTTGGGGCCAAAGAATTTTTGTTTTGTTTTTTATATTTATAAAAACATCAATAGCAAATTACTCATCCTTAGCCTAACAGAAAGATTCGCCTTTCCTAATGAGCCGATATACAACTCTGAAAAGGGGGAAAGTTTCTTTCTTAGCAATTATAATGGCTTTGGCTCCTTGGACAGGCCTGAAAAACGAGCGTAAGAGCGGAGATGAACACTCCATTGCCTCATCCTTACTGTATTTTAAATCTATGTCCACTTTCAAAAGTCACTGGTAGAGTCTTCCCAGCAAGTGATTTAAATAAGAGACTGCTTTCATTTACATACACACACACTTGCACTCCCCAACAACACTTCCTTTGAAAAACAGAATGTCACTTCCTCAATCCAGAGGCCAGAAGTCCCTCAGTTCTGATCTGGGGAAGCCAAGACAGGAAACTCTGGTAAGCTTCTGCCTCTCCCCCCGTGGACAGTCACTGGTGCAGCTGACCGAGGGCAGGGTCTATTCAGAGCTCCCTTGATGCACTGCAGCTGGAAGGCAACAGCTCACTTTCATGCTGTGGGAATGATCCCAGAGAGGCCAGCACCAGGAGTCAGTTTAACAAGGGCATTTCATAGGAAGTGAAAAAGGAACAGATGAGAGACCTTGACACCTTATACCGACCTTACTTCCATTTCCAAACGCCTGCAAACAGCCCAGGGCTGATTGTAATTACCACCACCTAGTACTTTGACCCCACCAGGCAAGACTTTAGGAGGTGGTGGTGGGGTAGGGAGGGGGGCGGTTAGCCAGACCTCCTCACCAGTCAGCGCCAGACTGTATGCCGTCTTCCCCTCGATGTTGCCAGTTTCTCTCTTGGAAGGGAGAAGCTGTCCCAGCGATTTCGGTAAACATCGTCGGTTAGCACCACCGGGCAACTGAGAACCTTGATTTCTCCCGACCCCAGACACCAAGGACTACACAAAATCCCGGCCGGTTATAGCAGACCAAACTGCAGTGTCACCGTCGTGGCGTGGGGTGGGGGGGATGTATGTGAGAGACATACAGAATGAAGGGGGACAAACAAATGAGTCACTTAATACAAGGGCTGCACATGCCGCTGACGCTGCCCGTGATGCAGAGGCTGTGGACTGGAAGGAAGCAGGCGGTCACCCGGGAGGGGCGGGCAGAGAAAGGGAAGGGGGAAAGGGTGTGAGGAGCCTCGCCCTTTGTGGGGGCCGGACTGAGCCGCCCCGCAGCCTGCACCCCCCTTTCCCGCCCGCTCCCCCAGCCCTGCACGCTGAAGCCACTCGCGGTTACTATGGTCCCACATCCCCGGGAATCAACTCTCTCGGTCTCCAAAACAATCAATACAAACTTCAATGCCGTATTTAGTTTACCAGGGAGGCTGGCTGGGGAGGCGCCGCCGCGCCCGCCCAGCGCAGAAGGAGCCGCAGCCTCAACCTGCCTGCCCGCCCGCCCGCCCGCTCCGCCCCTCGGCCGCGCACCTGTGACAGGTGTGCAGGTGCCCCACACAGCCCCGACTCGCGGGGCGCGCGGGCCGCTCCTCGCCCCCCGGGGGCCCTAGGGCCCGCTCTCCCCGTCGGCGACGCCCCTGCTGGAGCCCCCAGTCCCCGGGCAGGCCTCGGGGCGCCCCCCACCCGCGCCCTCGGCGGCCGCACCCGCTCGCCGCCCGCACTCACATAGCGCCTCAACTTCTTCTCGGGGGGCGATTTCCTCAGCCAGCCGGTGCACACCACGTCGCCGCCGCCGCTCATGTTGCCGGCCGCCTGGAGCCCGCCGCGGGGTCGGGCGGACAAGGGCGCGAGCGCGGGCCGCTGGGTCGGCCGGCCGGCGGTGCGCAGCTCACGGGGGAGGGGAGGGGCCGGGGCGGCCAGCGGCCGCGGGGCGAGGACGAGGCGGCGCGGCGCGGGCCCGGCTGCCTCGCGCGCTCCCGCTCTCCCCGCGCGCGCCCGCGCGCACTCCCAGCCGGGCCGCGACGGGGGCGCCACAGCAGGAAAAAGGGCGGCGCGCGCTCGCCACGCCCACAGCCCGCCGCGCCCCCGGCGGGCCGCCTTCAAAGACGCAAACACCGCCTTGCTTCTAGGGACCCGGGAGGCCCGAGGTTGGAGCGGACGCCGAAGCCGGCGGCCGGCCGCCAGCCGCGCCCCCCGGTCTTGCTTTCCGCCCTCAAGCTTGAACAACGATCCGGGGATGCGGCCGCGCCCCTGGTGGGAATGGGGGTGGGGGAAGGGAAGGGTCTGCGCGCCCTCGATCGCGAATCGATTTTTCACAGAGGGTCGTCAGGAAGGGACCCGAGGGCTGCTCGCGTTTCCTATGCGTTCGGAGTTTCAGGTTTCAGTGGGTCAGGTTCTGGGTGAAATAAGTGATCCGCTTCCCAGCAAGAGTTTCATTAACTCTCGCACCCCCTTGGCGGGAGAAGCAAAGATGAAAACAGACTTATAGGTGCTGGGCGCTTTGACATTCCTTGTTTACTTGATTGTCTTCCCAAATCTACAAATTGGGCGAGCGGTATTATTCCTATTTTGCAGACAGCCTCAAGTACCAAAGCCTGTGCAATGGAGAGCCAAGTTTCCAATTCTGGGGGGTGGGTTGGGGGTGGTCTTGTTCATCTGCTACTTAAAGTGGGGTAATTGCTTTAGTGCCTACAAATCAACTTGGTGGCCTCATTACCAAGAAATAAAGTCCAACTGTCTCCCGCAGGGCCTCTGGGAAAAACAATTCAGGGGAAAATTTGTGTGATTTGCAGGATCGAAGAAGCAAATGTAGAAGTCAATGTATTTCACAGTGAATTGGAAGGCAAGGTGCTGTAGAACAAGAAACTGGGGTCAAAATTCTCAGAGTTCCATCTCACTGACACAGGTTATAAAAGCTCTCTGGAGCTCGTATGAAAATTAGAATCAGGGGGCCTGGGTGGCTCAGTCTGTTGAGCCGTTGACTCCTGATTTTTGACTCAGGTCATGATCTCCCTGTTCATGAGTTCAAGCCCCTTTGGCTCTGGGCTAACAGTGCAGAGCCTGCTTGGGATTCTCTGTCCCCCTCCCCCAACCCCCCCCCCCACCTCCTCGCTGACCCTCCCCTGCCCGCTTTTCTCTCTCTCCCTCTAAGCAAACAAACATTAAAAAATTGGAATTTGAAGATACTTCTCTGTGTTGTGGTGAGGCTTTACTGAAATAAAATATGTGTAAGCACACATTTGATAACCCCAGTACTTCAGGGGTAGGGTGGAAGAGAAAAAAACCCATCTTTGGTATGGGCTCTTTTCAACTCACTATCTTTAGGAGAGATTTTAAAAGGTAGGTCCTCCCTCAGCTTCTCTGAGAAGTGGATCATAATCCATTTAATCCATAGGGAAGTATGCTATGGGCAGATGAGTAGGAGACAAAGCATCTTATAGTCTCCATACCATGTTAGACTAAGGGGCTATTTTGTCCATTTTCCAGTTTCTGTAGTGAAGCTAGTTGTTTCAAGCTGTTGCACATGATTCTGGTTTTACAGATCTTGCCTGGGTTGGAGAAAGTTCATTCACTTTAATCAGTTTGTAAAAGCAAATCCTTTACTATCTGCTAGCTTTTCTAAGTGTCATGAGAGGTAGAAATCAGTCCCCTACACCCACCATTTCACTATCCTCCTGGATAGAATGTAAAGCCAGAACTATCAGGCTATAGCTGGGATCGGAGGTGCCTTAGCTTTCTGATTTAGGGATCCTTATACCACATTGAAGGGGCACCACTAGAATTATGGCCATTTTAACTTCTGGCTTAAGTACGTTTAAACTCTGAGACAAATACCAAAATAGTCAAGCCTGCCAAATCAATCAGGAGGCGGTGACTCCCAACCAAAATAAAGCAATCATTCTGACTTCATCCACATCTGAGTCATGGTGCCAAGTCTCAGGGATTGCAGTCTGAGAGATCTGCACGGATTGTTTGCAGCCGAAGGTGCATGATGCAAGTCAGGCATACATATGCCTCATCTTTCCCTAGAAGAGTAGTCTTCCAATACATATCCTTTGATAGTTGTATGATTCAAGGCAGACCGGGAGCAAATTCAGCAATGGTTAGTTGGGCGTGGGGCTGCACTCTACCAGAAGCTCTTGAGGGGCTTACGTGGTTTTGCAAGAGACTCTTTCCTTCCCATCACTTACAATTCCATGTGGAAAAGAAGTTTGGTGTTTTGTGGCCAATGACAGGAGGGGCCTTGAAATACAGCAGTTACAGAGTACAGGTCTCCCCCCACCCCTGCAACCCAAAAGTGGTGTTCCCATGAAACCTTTTGGTAAGCTGAAATGGAGTAAAGAAGCAATTACCATCTTCTAAAGGCGAACATTCTCTTCGAATCTCTGTTGGTGGGCAAAACAAGTAGTAATGTAGGTCTTTCGTAAACGTGAAGGAGCATAAAGCAAACTTTTGGATAGTTTGCTTGTATATGCTTCAGGAAGGCTTTTCTGAACATACCTTTCCTTCTCCAAAACTTACAGAAAGGGGCTCTTCTCAGAGCGCTCTTGCTTGTTCCCCACCCCACTTTTCTCATTAGTCAGCTGCTAGCACCCAGCTCAGACTGCACACAGGAGGCAGGACCGTTGCTGAGGTCTCTGGCTGCACACTGGTGTGGCTCAGTCTTCCAAGCCACAGATGTGTGCCAGGCCTGGGGACAGGCCTCGAACAGAACATTCCTGTTGGGGCCTTCACTAAGTCTTCTCCACTGCATGCTCTTTTCTTTCTTTCTTTCTTCCTTTCCTTTTTTAAATGCCCTCTGGTTTTCGCTGGTGAGAAACAGAAAACGAATTAGGAGTGGTTTATTTACATGAAGATAGGCGCCATCTATCGGAACCAGTAGGGATGACAGCCCCCCAACCACAGCCCCCAAACCTGTGAGGACATGCATCACTAGTCTATAATTCAGGCAATTTTGATTAAAGACCACGGGTATTTCCTGGGGGGAATTAATGACCGGCTGCAAAGAGTGCTTTGGGTCATTAATTCTATATTCTCATTAAATCCTCAGGAAATGACCATCTCATGGTGAGAGCTTCTTTGGAGGAAGCATTGCAGAGATTAGAGAGCTGCACACCTGGGAAGAAAGTATGGGAACGAGGTTTTGCCCCCGCACCTCCCCCACTCAAACCTGGGTTCTAAAGGGTGTACTCTGGCTTCTGAGTGTCGTCAACAAAAGCCTGCATCCGTGCCTGTCTGTGAGTTGAGGGTTTGTGGCCAGCGGCAGGTGCATGGCTGATGGAACAGTCCCAGGAATGGGTTGGAAGGGCTGGAAGGAGAGCTGTCCTCAACTGCACACCAGGCTGGCATGATTAATACCACCCACGCCAAGCCTGACGTCAGTGATTGGACCGGGGGTGGAGATGGATGTTTGTGTCCTAGCCGTGCTGCCTTGTCTCTCCTTCAATTTAGTTGACAGGTTAATTTCAGAGCTGAGTGCTGCTTGCTAAGGTCACCATGGCCAGCTGAGCCACCTCAGCTGGTGACTCTTAGGACACTGGGCTCTCACAAATGTGGAGGTGCATGCCACTTTAACCCTGAGATGCTTTGAGCTCACTTAGTTCCATCGAATTACTGTTACCTACTCAAATCAATTTCTGGAATCTGGATGGGATGGAGATCTGAAAGTGGGCTTGGGGTGCAGCTGAAGACCTAATAGTGTCGTTTCCTCCCTGTCTGCAGCTGCTAAAAATCGGAGTTACTTGACATTACACCCAGTGGAAGATATTCTGGATATAAACTTTCTTATGGGAAAAGTTGGAGCAAGTCCAGTTTCCCAATTTCTCCTTTGTGAAAAACTAGAACCTGTGCTAATTGCTTTGGGGCAGTAAGGGTTCTGGAACATTTCTGCTGCCACTGGTGAGGGTAGTACATTATTGTGTTCAGGGATCATGCTGCGGAATTATATTCTCCCAGGAACAAAGACTTGTCAAGTCCCTGAGAAAGTGTGCCCTGGTATTCCAAACCATACTTTGCATGATGGCCCCCTTACTTCCTTCAGAGAGAACTTTTACTTTAGATTGGATCTTGAACATATGACCAGACCCCTTTCCTTAAAACTCACCATCCCCACTCCTCCACATAGTTGTTCATGTTTTTCTTGAATTCCCATTGCACCTATATAAATATAGGTTATCACACTGTACTGCAAATACCTGGGCAGGGCCATGTCTTCCTCGTTTTTTGTATCCCTAAAGCCTCTGGTGCCACACACATAATCAACGCTCACTGAATGCTTTGAGAAGGAAAAAATAACAACAAACACCCCTAAAGGATGACCAGTGGGAGCTGCGGACTCCTGGAGCATCCAGAAGTCTCTAATCCATCCACACCAGAGAACAGGATCTGTGAAGGTACTTGTAAGTCGCTGGAGTGTTTAAATCCACAGGGACTGGTCTCATGGAAGGCGCTGAGCAGATGGAGGTAATCCTATGCAGTTTTACTTTCACAGGTGGTTGAAATCCTGGGGTAGATTCTAAAAACAATAGTTCCTTAGACCTTTTGACTCCCATCTCCAGAGAAGTGACTGTGGTAACTCTTGGTTTCCAAACCCTGGAGCTGTTGTGCAGACTCCCCAGATACTCTCCTCTCCAGGACTAAGAATTAAATCATTTGTGATTTATCTGATATCTGGGCTCATTGTGACAGTACTACAGGGGCTCTACCACTTAGCGCCTTAGACCCACACACAATCCTAACAAAGCAGGAGAAATCATGTCTCCTGAGTCCAAGTGAGTTCTTCCAGCAGGTGCAAGAAATGCCGTTTTATTCTGTGCTGAATGCACAAAGAGTGGCTTTGCAGACTTGCTAGTCTTTGTTTTCTTGGGGATCCAAAGACCACTGGAGAGCATCTCATTTAGCTATTTCTACCAGAGTTACCCAAAGTGGTTGTCTGATCCATACAACCAGTGATGTGCTGA